CAGTTTTATGTCAGACTTGTTACAGTGGCCTTGGAAAAAGGAACACGTGAAATTTATAAAAAAAATCAAGAGTAATTGTATGCTAGGTTCAAATATGTAGCATCATCCTAACTATGAAAATGTTTGTTTATGGTGTTTTTCTCAAAAATTCTATTTGAATTTAAAAGGCCAGTTACTAGAATTAAATAGCTATTTTCATATGTTTACATCTCATCAATTTATTTAGGGGTTTATTAGATAATTTCTCTGTGTGTGTTTTGGGAAAAAGAAATAGGCAGAGTGCAGGGACTTGGGTGTTCTTAGTGCATCTGGGACAAAAGCAAATTTTTTGTCTGCTTGCCATCTGGCTGCTTTTATGTATTCATCAGCTGAATCAAAAATCCCTGTATATATCAGTACTGAGTTTAATGTGAAACACAGACAGCGTTAACTGGTTTCATGTACCCTCATGTACTGGCTAGTCACAATCCTGGAAAAACAAGTTATCTTTTCATCAGGTATAATAGTAAGGAAATCATAAAGTAGTCATCATATGGACAGAATTATGCTTGTGTTTATGAAATGGATTATTTTTTCTAAGAAATTGATGCCATAAAAGGTGTAAATGCTTCATAACTATAACAAAACCAATTAAGTTATTTTGTCTTGTACATTTAGCATTGGCAGTTTTCAAACTGTGTGATGCTGAGAAGAGAAAGCAGAACACAGTGGAGAAAAGGAAAATAGAGATAAAATAGCAGCGATACTGATTTGGATATCATTCGTTTACAGCTGTAAACAGAGGAGGCAGGTACGCATGCATTCTAAGAGCAGATTGCTGTGGTAGCTGGAGAGCAGTAAATGATCAGTATTTATTCTAGAAGCTTCCAAAGTTGTGTCAGGTATTTCACAGAACGGAAGAGCATGTGTGGTCCTCCCCAGAGCATTCAGCCATGGAAAATGGAATGAGAAGAGGAGAACAAAAAGGGATTTGCCAGCTCCAGAGCACAGAGAGTGTCGGTTAGCACCCAGCATGATTTGTTACAAAGAGCGGGCGGATGGGGTGAGGCTTGAAAGGGGATTAAGGGTGGGGAAGGTGGAGGAAACTTGTTTTATTTGTTTTAAGGTAGAAAGAGAGTCTAGAGGCTTTCAGATTAGGTCTTCCTTGTGAGTTAGCAACATGGTGGCTAGAAGATTTGTTTTTCATCTAGAGATCAAAGAGAAAATGGACTTTGGGCACGCATGTATTTGAATAGAACAGGCCTTACAAGTCGTTTGTGGGTGTTTCACACCCAGTGCTGCATGAGAAGCTCCTAGTGACCATGTAAGCAGCAGCTGCCCAGGGTGCAAGCTGGACATTGTTAGTGAAGCTGTGGAGAGGGTAGAGCATTGCAAGAAAACAGAGTGAGAGAAGCAGAGAGCAGTGGCATAATGCAACGTGCCGATGGAACATGATGTTTTGAGCTAGGGGTGCTAACTCCTGGAACAACTGAATGTGCTTGGAGCAACCAGCAAGAAAAAAGATCTTGGCAATGCCATTTTGGATCGATAGAGGGAAATGAGCCGGGTATTTACAGTGGATTGTCCCCTCCCCTTGAGATCTCAAGGGAACTTCTTCTCTGAAAAGGGACTAGCTTATTGGAGTCTAGGAAGCTACTGCAGTACATATCGTGTTTAATTACCCAACGGCCTATCTTCATTTATCATACTCTCTTAGTATCTGTGGAGAGAAATAATACCTAACAGCCCTGCTCTATGTAGCATCAAGGCAGCATCCTCATGAGATTCTGCCAAAATACCTGAACAACAGACTTACTACTCATTAGTTGGTGGGTGTCTTTTGGGTTTCTTGGTTTTATGTCAGAAAGTTACTTCTAAATGCCAGCTGGCTGCTTTTCTTAGTCATTCTGCCAAGTGGGCGTGATTCTGCAAGAAATAGCAGAAATGGGCAGTAGTAAAATAATCGAAGACCAGATTCAGGTATGATATTTTAAATGGTAATTCTGCTGGTGTAGAAAGAAATGCTGCTGGTATTGAAAGGACTAAATGTCAACACAATTTAAAAAACAAAACAAACAAAAAACCTCACAAAATTAAGCAAGGAAAACATTTTGAAATAAAATAGGTTTCTGTTAATTTTCTTCTTAGGATAAGAAGGTTTCAGAATAGAAGAGTGGGATGCAAGGGTTTGCATTCTGCTTGATATAAAAATGCTTTATTGACTCATATGAGTAGGCTGTCATCAAAGCTGTATCCATGCTTCAGAAAAGGATGGTTGACTATCACAGATTAAGAAAGGAAAAAATCTCTTCCCAACGTAGACTGTTAAGAGCTGGCAGAATTTTCACAGGATTTCAGCTGTTCAGTCAGCAAGAATATTGCAGCACAGCTCTGGAAAGCAAGGACACTATTTGTGGGAACTTGCTCAAATCTTGTGAGTCTCTTGGTGAGAGAGAAATCCCGACAAGTAAATGCATTTTAATTTCAAGCAGAGGATTTTGTAGAAGGAAAAGAGCAGTGTAAGAGTGTGTAAATGAAATAATCTGGATGTGCTGGAGAGCTGCTTGGAAAGACGTTAGACTCAATTCTTATTTATATGAAGGCCCCTTTCCTCTAAGCTGGTAGTGAAAATGACCTTGCAATGTCTATAAAAACAACTTGTCGTCTTTTATAGGCACTTGTACTTCCTGAGTACTGTTATTGTGTATTAGGTCATAAATTCCTGGTAGTTTATTCGCAAACCAGTGTTATTTTCTGAATATTTCTCTATCCTTGTAAGTAAGCATACTAACTATTTCTACTTGGTTATTTTTACAGTTCTGTTGTGCTCATTTATTCCATCACTAGGAGTATTATAAGTGATAATATGCATATTCCTTTTGATGTTGATTAATAGCAGATTCAGAAGAATACTGGATTCTTACATTAAACATACCAGTGCCAGACAACCTGTGCCCTGAATAATTTATAAAGAATAAGAAAAGGATTAGAGGTAGACCACACAGATATAAATCTCCATGTGAGCTTAGTTAGAGCTTAAAACAGGGCACGTACACTTCAGGATCTCACTGAGACAGATGCATTCATTCTTTTATTCTTGATTCTCATTTCATCTTCTGTCGCTTTTTCTCTGAACTCCTTCCAATCTATAGGCTTTGATAACAAGGGCCCCTCAAGGGTGAAGGTAGGGTTTCAAGAATGTTTTGCCAGTTGTTTTATGGTTGCTCCTTCACCATGCTTTGTCAGCTTATATTTTCTAAAGTGCAATTACTGCACGGGAAATAACAAGACTTAAATTGTTCCGACTCAAGAGGGAGACATAATTCATTCTATATATAGCATCCCCAAACTGAGCTAAGGTTGAGTGTTCAGACACTTCAAAAAACAGCTGCTGTAAGAATCCAAAATGATGACAAGAGACAGCAATACAAATAAATATTTTATAAGACAACAATGTGAAGTTTAATCATTGATTTAATAAAACCCACAATAAAGCAACACATTTCTTTTATTCTTCAATTAGACAAATGTGTAGTAAATTATTACAATAAAAAAAACTCCAAATACGTCTACTGTACTTCAACTTCTAATTACAGCAACTGTAAATTCCAATTTAATTAAAACCTATTTGAGTATTAGTAGGTGCAAAATACCTGTTGTTTATTTGTGGTACTGTTTCCCAGTAAGTTTGTAAAGATGGGATGCACATTTTTCATGAACTGTGATATGGCTTAATTAATGATAGTGTTTGTATTGAAGCATTAACTTCCCCAGTACAGTGCTACTTTGCCTCTGAGCTGTATGTGCTCCCATGCTGTACTCACGTGTTCCCATTTCTTGCCAGAACAGATACAAACATAATCCAGTGTTATGTGCACTTTGTCCAAATTAATACTGTGCTGTCAGTTTTCACCTCTCAAAATTCATCGCGTGACCCCTACCTCAAAAAAAGGGGAGAAAAGAAGCCAAGATTGTTACCACCAATTGCAGGTATAAATCAGCCTGAAGAATATGTGAAACCCTAGCAAGTTTCAGAACAGACAATAGCTTAAGTATTCACAGCTGAATATCACAATATCTATTACTGGGCAAAAATTTTCCTTTCTGATCCACATACAGAACTACTTTTGACATCAGTGGAAGTTCTGCAGAACCGTGAGACTAAGCAATTCAGTTTTGTGGACTTTGAGGATGAATAGTCTTTTCAAATTGCCTCATCCCTCTGTAAATAAGAAAAGGCCTTTCTACCTCTGTAGGTTGTTAGGATTTTGTTGTCCAACACAATATTAGGATATTGTTGTCCAACGCAATTACATTACTGAGCTTTCTTGGATTTTGCTTTATTCATAAAGTTCAGTAGTGAGGGACTGCTGTTGCAGTGGCCTTCCTGTCAGGATACTGCCATACTCTGCTCAAAGCAAAGATGAAAAGGTCAGAGATCTGTCGCTGAGGGAATAGCACATATCTAAAACTTCTGCTCCCCACTTTCCTGTTAGAAGACGCAAGTATTTTGCATGTTTATAGATTGCGTTTGAGAGTATCTCCATGTCAAGCATAGTTTCTATCATTTGATTTTTCTTTTAAAACAAAACAATAATGGAAAAATGATCAATTACAGGACATTTATTAATTATAATTAGAATGCATGCTAATCAACTGGCCTTTTAATGTGAATCAAATGTTGGTTTAGACATTCAGGATTATTAATAATAAATTCATCTTACAAATCAAAACTTCGTAAAATAAATAACCTGTTTCTAATGTATAAACCCTATTCTAAAATACATTAAAGATAACTGATCACTTAGAACACTTTGGGTCCAGTGTTGGGTCTCTAGTTAAATACCAGAAGTCTGGGCAAGGATCTTCTTGTCTGGATCTCCGAAGGCCCAGATTAAAGCTAACTTTCTGGTCTGGGTACAGTAAATTCTGTATTTTGCAGTGTCTCCAAAGAGACAGTTTCCAAAAGAATTCAACTAGCACTGTGTACATTATAGTTTAAGATATTGTATGAAAATTACTATTGCAAAAATAGTGTATAATGAATTCAGGGCTCATGAGATATTATGGAACCCTGGCATGATCAGCATTAGAGACTTTAATTGAAATACTGAATACTTGATGCTCCATTTGGAGTGCAGGTATTTTGTGGTACATAGTTCCTAAAGGACAATATTGGACTGTAATTTGTGAGGTATCTGCAGAGCCACATTGCAGTTTGTAAACAATAATCCGAAAACAGCTTTGTCCCAAAATCATAATAAATTGAATAATCCAGTACAAGGGAGAGAGTGAAATACATGTTCTGTAGGGCAACCACTGCACTTTTTGCAGCACCAGTTCTCCCCGCTGCATGTTACATGGTACAAATCCACATATCAATGGTTTCTATTTGATCATTTTCACTTTGCATTTATTGCTCTCAGTCTTTGACTACAAGATAAAGAATAAGGCAGCAGTTCCCAAAACATACGAAATTAGGCACTGGAACTCTGACAACTTGCGCAGGTTTTGCTCATTTCCTGTTTGTAGCTCTGAAGCTGGACAGAGCACTTGTACATCCCAAACGTGTTCAGCAGCAGTTGTCGGGCCTTGGACTGAACTTCCTCCCATTTAGATGAACTACCAGGAACTAAAAGACCAAGAAAATAATTAATAGAATTCACTCCTCAAGAAACCTGAACAATCCAGCTGTTCTTAAAGTTTCCACAGTGTTATCACCTAGAATAATCTTTGTTCACACTCATGTATTAATTTAATATTGTTCTGTGGTCACTGTGTACTCTCTATATATTATTTTACAACTTTAGGTCTATACCCTCTAACTAGACACATCTTCATAAAATTGTGTGTGTTAGATAACACTCCCCACCCCCCAAAAAAATGAGCTTTCTTACTAAGAATTAATATTCATAGTACTGATAGATGTCTAAATCAACATGTTTTGGCAAAACACATTTATTTTTCATATGTCAGATTGTTCCACATTAGAACTTCACCCTGTCTTTCCCTGGACAAAATAAGGGAATTTCTGAGAAGAAATCCTTTTTCTTTTTTGTATTTTTTTAATCCCTACCCAAAGAATCTGTACTGGATATTTCAGTATGAATATATTTTCTTTGCACAATTTTCATTTCATTTCATTTCATGTCTTTCTGGGCCAATGCATTCTATACCTTGCTGTACAAAACCATAGTTAGTAGATTATTTTTTCCCAGAATGATATTGCGTAGTTCAACTTAAATAACAATAGGAAGAGAGAGTGGGGTTTTTTCCTACACTTAGATTTAATTTAGAATTATGCTATACAGCAGCTTACCTAGTTGCAAGTGGACTATGGCAGTTGTTTTGCCTGCAGTGAGAGACCAAACATTTAAATCTTCTATAGAATAAACATCTTCAATTTTCATCAAGTCTTCCTTAATGCGATCCACATTTAAATGCCTTGGAACTCCTGTGATACCAAACATGAGATAAAATTAATTCTGTCTTCTGCAAACTCTCAGTGGCCTTTAAAATGTCATGACAGATCTCAATGTCAAAAGAGTTTATAATTTGTGCTGTTGGAAGTGATGAGTAACTTCCAAGTTATCAACAGAGAAGAATATGCAAACTGGCATATTAAGTCCAGTATGGGTACAGAAGTTGTACAGGAATTGCAGTGTTGTCTCAAATGTAATTTGTCCTGTCCAGAATCGGCTCTCTGGCAATAGCCAGCATTAGATCCTTTGGAGCAATGTCCTTGTGCAGCCAACTTTACTGCAGCTTCTAACCCCTAGTAACTGCTTAGACCAGACTCTAAGGTCGGAATCTAAAAAAAAAAAAAAAAAGCTAGGGGCTGCCCCCTTCTTGTCCCCTGAAACGTCTCTCTTCAGGTAACTGGTATCATTTCCAACAAACTGGCATATTAAGTCCAGTATGGGTACAGAAGTTGTACAGGAATTGCAGTGTTGTCTCAAATGTAATTTGTCCTGTCCAGAATCGGCTCTCTGGCAATAGCCAGCATTAGATCCTTTGGAGCAATGTCCTTGTGCAGCCAACTTTACTGCAGCTTCTAACCCCTAGTAACTGCTTAGACCAGACTCTAAGGTCGGAATCTAAAAAAAAAAAAAAAATGCTAGGGCCTGCCTCCTACTGTCTCCTGAAACGTCTCTCTTCAGGTAACTGGTATCATTTCCAAACGCCCCTGGTAATCAATCTGCAGTGGTTAACACATATGACTTTTGTCTTATAGCATGGCACCTTGGCAAACCAGTGATTGCACTGATCAAGTCCTTCTGGACATAGTATTTTCAGCAGCTATAGCACCTCTATAGCTTCCCTATTCCACCCTTTAGCTGTACAAAGGGCAGAATCAAAATTTTAGATGATCAACATGGGCTCAAAAACTAGTACAAAAATACTGAACAAACTCCGTTTCTGAATAGTTCTGTTTCTATCATAGCTTTTTACTGCTTATCTTCCAGTTTTATGAAGTTTGATTAGATATACTATGAGGAGTTCAGCCACTTGCTTCTCAAATTTCTTCAGAATTTTTGGATGACTCCTCTCTGAACCTGATGCCTGTCTTTTAAATTGTTAGTTCCAGTACCATCTCTTTTGAAAGTTCAGTGTCTCGGGTTGTCTCGTATTAGACAAAATTTTCCTTCTAGTGAAGACTAACAGAAAATTATTTAGCTGATAAATAAGTAGCTAACTGCCTGGTTATTATTTCTACAGCTTGCTTTTTCCCAGGAAATATGGACTTAAATTTTGGTATCTCACATCATGCTGTTGATAGACTTCCATGCTGCCTTATAAATCTATATTAAAAGCTAGAATATCATTTATTGTATTAGATAATAATTTAAGTTTTTAATTTAGCATTCCTAGTATAACAATGAAACTTAAGTTAAAATGAATACTGAAAGCTGATACAACTCCAAGGACCCTGATGTTGTAGCAGTAGTCTCCAATATAAATGCAAGTCCATTCTCTGGAGACCCTGAATTTGAGCTGGAAAAAATTCCCTAGAATACATAAAGCCCACCTATCATCACTTCTAATAGCATCATTAATGTGGAGATTTTTATGACAACTGGGATACCTAGGCAAACAGCTACAACTCAAACATCTGGAATCTGATACACAATTAGTTTGTCTTATCTGTTTTCTTCAGCTAAATCTTAGCTATTGCCTCGGAGCTAATTGAGGTTTCTTAAGCAAATTTTACCATTTTTGCCTTCTTGGTGAACTTCCATTTTGTTGGATTTTTTTTCCCTCCTAAGTGACAGCAAAAGCACTTGACATTGAAGATTTTGAGGTCCTTGATTTAACCTCGTAACATAATAAAAGTTAAGTCAATAATAGCTCACGAGACAGCTAGGAAGGTGCAGCTAAAATCTAGGATTTTTCTCCCATCCTTAACATTTTCACTTTCATAAGGTAAAAGTACTAGATCAAGCAGTAAGAGTTGGCATGTTAGTTATAATAATGCAAAGAATGTTGCTGGCATCTTTCCCTCTAAGTCACCACATGAGATAAGATTCTTCAGCTTTTGTTCAGCTTTTTCTTTCTTTTTTTTTCTTCTTCCTTTTTACACCACTCTTTACTTGTATCTTCCCCTATGGTAACAGTAGAAGCACGCAAGTAATACAACAGCACTTGGGGAAAAGGGGAAGACAGGACAGGCATGAACCACCTCTCCAGCCATTTGGCCTAAGCTTGCTTCCTCCTTTTACATGCATTCACATTCGCTTTAACTTTACAATAATTAAAGTGAAAGTGTAGAACTGAGTCTGGGTAAATGTTCACTTAGTTTAGCTGACAGCCACTGCAGACACCCAAGAAAGTTCTGTACATTTCACTGCAGAGGACAAAGACACCTAAAGACTGCTGCAACTTAGATGAGCCATCAAGAACCAACAGACTAAAGCAGCAGCAGGATAAACAGGTCTCCAGACACAATCCACTTTGTTAGAGACGGTGATCATGATGTCAAAAAAGTGCCAGCGCTCACTGGTATTTGACACGTCAAGTACTGCAGACTGTGCACAGGTCTTACCTTCCAGAATAATAACTCCTGTGTCACACAGAATTCGAACTGTTGTCAAAACCACCAGTATGGAGAATACATATGTACATATAGGATCAGCAATCTTGTACTCTGGCTGCAAGGGAGGTTCCAAAGTGTTAAAGCATGTATGAAAATGAGCTCACTTACAAAAATGTGTCTCAGAAAATGCAGTTACTTCTAGCTCCAACTTTCATTAATATTTCTTTTTGTTTGAATAGGTACAAAATATATAATAGAGATAGTCTTTGCTTATTTTGCATGAATATACAAAGCTTATAATAGAATATCACACAGTATTTTTTAATAACTTACAAAAACAAGTCCCTTTTTAATTTAATCACCGGAGTTGAAATTAAAAAAATTCCACCCTGCCTCAAAGAGTAGCCATTCCTTACCTTAAAGCGTATGATATATGCAGCTACGAGCACACCAATACTTTGTACCAGGTCCCCAAGGGCATGTACAAATGCTGCTCTCACGGCAAGGCTGCTGTGTCCATGGCTGCTGCTGTGGGCTGTGTTAGGAGAGTTCGACTGAGGTACGTGAGAGTGAGGGTGGGAATGGGAGTGGGAGTGAAGGTGGCCAGATTGATTCAGCAAAAAACCCATTCTGAAAGTGAAAGAAGAAAAACACTCCAAGAAACAGGCTTTAGGGTTTGGTGGGTGGGGGGTTTTGTTGCTTTTTTCTTTTTCTTTCCTTTTAAACCAAAGAATTGAAAAAATAATACTCAGTATCATTTCTTGTCTTATTAATGAAAATGAAGAGGTCTAGCAAAATTACATCCCATGAGAAAGTTACAGGCCATGAATGAATTAGCAGCTTATTCAGAAATACATTTATGAATGTTAATGGAGAGAAAGGGAGATCTTACATTAAGTTAACTGCAACACCAACGGCTGCTGTAATCAGCATGATATCGCCATTTATTTCATAGTCCATATGGATAGTTCTTTGAACAGCTTCATACAAGAGGAATGCCATAAGGATATAGACCAGCAATACACTAATGATGGCTGACAATACTTCTGCAAACAGAAAGGAAACAACATTACAAAAGTGAGTCGCAGATCTATTTCTATTTCCAAATTAGAATGCGGACAGAGCCTTAACTATTTTAACTGTTTTATGTGTATTATAACACTAATGCACAACTAACGAGTTGCGCGGTAAATAAAACTCGTAAAATAGGATTAGCAAATGGAGTTTGTTCTAATCAACTCCTTCATGTTTCCCTGTCAGTACATCCCCAAATTACGTTTTCTCTGAAAACTTCTGCATGGGCGATGACTGTGACTTCTTCAGACAACCCAAAAGTTTCGCCTGAGAAACCGCAAAGGCCCTGTCGAGGGGAGAGGAAGATAGGCGGTCTCAAACATCACTAGCCCACCTACAAATAAGAGAAAGCTTGACTTCAGCTGTCCCCAGTATTAAGCTGGATTTAGAAATGACTTTTATAGACCCTTTTGTATTTAGGATGAAGAGAAAATTACAAGAAGATTAAGAAACTGAACAGTACAAACTTGTCAGACATATTACTCCTAAGCTTCTTGTACATATGCATTATTTATTACAGATTTCAGCTATGAAGGATTACTTAATATAAGTTTCTGTATTGGTGTAATACGCTGCTTTAACATTATCTAATGTTTACCAAATACTCGTATTTCACAAAAGTGAGAGTGTTATGACCAACACTTTGGTGTAGGAATTTTATCTAATCAGTAGGGACTTTCAATAGGGCACATACGTCTAAATAAAGAGAAAATTAGAAAGTTAATAAAAACTCTTAATATTTCATTTTCCTGCATCTTCCACTACCATTTACACCTATGGAAAGTGGTTACAGCTCTCTACAAGGCTCCTGCTGTTCTGATGTGAGGTAAATCGGCCTGAATATTTTATGGGTCTGGACCTTAGTGCTGTCTGCCTCAGTACCCAAGTCATGAAATTGGGCTGGTAATAGCATACATTAACCTGAGAAGGATGAGTCCACACTACAGTTTTAAGGTCCTACTATAAAGAATATAGGTACTTCCAAATGGGTCACTACATTCCTTTTAACATAAACATACTTCTACCCTCTAGTTTCATATTCTGAAAATGATTGCCCTGTCGCAGCTGAAACTTAAAAAAAAAAAAAAAAAAAAAAGGAAAAAAACCCAAAAAAAAAAAAACCGGCCCCGTAAAAAAAGTCTCAT